ATACACGTCGATTTAATTTATTTAATTTATTTATTTTTTTTAATTTTTTAAATAGCCAAATCCACAAACAAAAAGAAATATTTTAATTTTTAAATATATTTAAGTTACAATTTGAAAAATTGAATAAATTAAATAAATCTTTTAAAAAAAATAAATAAAACATCAAAATCTATCAATTTTTAATTTACAAATGCTTTTTGCAATAAATATTTGAATTGAAAATTAAATCATTTGTGTTTGTTTCTTTTTACGAAATGATACCTAAAGGACCCTCGATCATATATATATATACATATAACATATGCCAGTCCCACTCGGAGTGTGGGGTGGGGTGGGTCCTTCACACCTACTGGATGAATTCCGCTTCTCGGTTTCATGAGGACAGCAGTTTAAAACTGAGATCACTGCCGGATCATTCATCTTCCCCATGACATGGATATAACATCTACCTCCACATCCTCCCCAACCCTCTCCCAATGCCTGCGTCGCCCTCGCGTGGCACGTGCGCTCGCACCTGGGACATGCCAACCAGGAGGAGCGGTCGTCGAACGCCGGAGCTCCAAAGCCGTTTGGTGGGAAAATCATGGACAATCAAGATCAACAAGCCTATTTCCACCTGTTCCTGTTTACCCCACCAACAAAATATCAGCAGGTGATCTACTTTCTTTGGGTGGGAATGTGAACGGTTTGACGATCGACTCAAACAAACTCCCGATGTGGAGTGCTGGAGATTGCTTGGGGAATCGTGAACATGTTCGTGATGTCTTTCACGGAGTTTTTTCTCTTGGAAAAATAGCATGTTCTGTGAGAGAGATGTCTTGCCGCGCACTCTGAGAGATGTTCTCTTGACTTCATGACGCTTCACGGCTTCACGACTGCAGAGCTGGTGCTGGTGCAGTGCTGGTTCACGACTTAGGACCTATTTCATCCCATTTCATCCCATTTCCATGATTCCCCGAGGTGGGGAAGACTCCCAACCGCAATTCATGGCAATTTCCCATCTACACCTTCCACATGGCTTTCGAAAAGCATGGTCGATCCCGGGTCTTCGCATCGGCTCGGTGCTTGATGGAGCGAGACTGAGGATGCTGCGGGAGATCCGACCCAGTCAGCTAGCCCACTGGAGATCCGCGTCCTGAAGAGCATGGAGGCAAGCAGTGCTTGGGGTGATGTCATAAGAGTCATAAGAAAGTTCGCCGTGAAAACCCCAGAGGTGCTAAGGCGGCTTTGAACACTCCCCAAGAATCAAAAAGAAAACAGCAGCTTCTTGAATCTCACAGCACGTGACAGATCCCCCCCTCTCCCACTCTCAGCTGCCTGGTCTCCTCATCCACGCCACTCCAGCCATCTGCGCTCGGGCCAGGTGCCGAGAGATGCTCCGTTTCCCGTGGTGAGGGATGCAGAATGGCCAGCCTGGCGCGTCTACAGGCGCGTGGCGTGTGTGCACGTGTGGCTTCAGAATAGGAGTACCTCAACAATGCTCTGGTAGAAGGGAACATACCCTTGCAGTAACCCTATTGGCTTGGAGATCACTTACTGTACATCTATCTTCAAGATCATGTGTTCACAACTCCTTCGCTGAGGCTGAGGCTGCTGTGCAGCAGCCTTCATTGCAGCCAAATGGGCTGGTCCTTGGACATCCAAAGGAGTCACCAAAAGGTGCTTATTGCCCAAACACCCATCTATGAAATTTATGCCTACATTGCCCCCCCCGAAACCACCCCAACTGATCGGTAAATGCAAGTCCCATGCAGTTTCTGGGTTAGAAGAAGGAGCCTATCACTATCAATGGAAGCTGAATTTTATCTTTACCTGGGGTCTCCCTATCACCCACGCCTGGCCCACTAAAACATGGGTCTTACCCTCGCCGAGCAATGTTCTTATACGACTGGTCCAACAACCTAAAGGCTTTATATATAGCATCGCCTGGAATGTCACTGACTCAAACTACTCAAGTGCACACGAACTATCCATATCAAGCGTTATCAATCTCACATTGACATGAACGCGATGGTTCACCACCTCCACAGAAATCGTGCACTTCGTGCGTCTGCTTATTTTGGTTTGTGTTTATCCTGTTATTTTTACTAATGGCGCAAAATGTCAAGCCAATGTTTTTGGAACTGCCAAAAACCTCTAGCTAAATCTAGCAGAACACTTGTTGATTGCGGGTCAGCAACCAAGTTTCATTCCAGAACTGTGGGAGCCATCTACCAGCTCTATCAACATTCACTTGAAGCTCCCCTGTTCTTACACTGGTTTCGGAGTAATTAGATGGCACAACCCCCCCCAAGATGTCCTTCAGATTGGAGTCCGTATTAAACCACCAACCTTGGGGATTGGGCCATCTACTCTGAAACCACTGTGTATCACCCCTTTTCAGGAACCCTCTTGCGCGGGCCGGGGCCGGGCCCCACTGGGCCCACTTGGGCCCTCCGGCCCATGGGCAAAGAGCCCGCAGCATTGGACGGGAGGCCCGCCGCAGATTCCAGTCTATCACCTCGGTCGGAGAAAAACAAATGGTCTCACTATGTCTCGCTGACAGGGGTTAGTTGTACCCCCACATCTACCCACTCAATTAAAGGAACAGGAGGTTCCTAAAGTAAACTCATGCACGTGTTTTGAATGCATGATTGTTGGATGGGAATTGGGTGGGGGGGGTGGCAAATCTCTATATATTGGTCCATTGGTCCGTGTTCCTCTTGCATTGCCGCAGAACTTCAGAGGTTTTGAGGGTGGACCTCAGGGTTTTTGCGCCTCAACATGATGGGGTCCCCGATCAGAAGCGAACTCAAAGCTTTTGACAGCCCAATGTCGTTCTCGGTCCCAGACTTGCGTCTTCTGGATCAAATTTCTACAAGTGATGCAATTCCTTGACTGCCAAAAGAAAGGGAAGCAGTCATAGGCATGAGGCTGCTCGATCTTTCTGTCCAGACCTTTTGTGGGAACAAAACGACTGCTCTGAACGACCGTGATGAGATTAACAAGGAGGTGCAGTTTCCAAGTTGTTGGGAAAATAGTTCCCAACCTGCAGCAACTGCCAAGCCTACATGGGAATTCCACTCAAGGTGTGGGTGTCTGTGCAGCTCCTGGGAACCGGAACTGGAGCTACCCGGTTTGTACGTAACCCAGCTGTCGGCTCTCTGAGACCCCGGGGCAGTACGCCGTCAGTGCACCCACTTGCTCTCGCAAGAGAAGGACCTGCGAAGAAATTCGAACATCCTGCTTCACGTTCCAACATCTTTACCAACGCCTTTACCTATCATCTCCAGGCGCAACCGTCCGGAGAACTGGTCTCGCTCCGACCGTCCTTCTGGACACTGTCGTCTTTCGTGTATCACCCCCACCCATGTTTCTCAACTCCAGTCTTTGGAAACATCCGACTCTCCCTTTAGATTCATTTGATGTAGGGGTCCGGACTTTTTGGGAGCAACATGATTGCGTCGTCTATTATTCAGGAGATGTGGGATGTCTACAGCAGCAGGTGACAGGTGTCTATTTTTGTTGTTGTTGAAGATCATACTACAGGTTTTAAGTGATCAATAGACTCTAAGGAGGTGTCAATGAGCAGGTGTCTATGCATGTTTCTTGTTGATCACAAGAGAGTTTTGCTGTGCATCGCATTAATCTTCGATGTTCGCAGATCAGATCGACGCGTCTGTCGTCTTCGACGCGTCTCGGCATCTGACCTGCCTTGCGTGGCACTTGCGAATCTCGATGGCGGTTGAGAACGGTGGGAAGCGAAGACATGGATGTGCCGAAAGAATCCTGCTATATCCTGCTTCCTCATAGAATCGAGTTAGCACACAGTTCACCGTGAAAAGTAAGTCATCATCTCGAAAGCCCAATGAGCTCGTTAATCTCCAATTGAAACATGGGAATTCAAAAAAACATACATTAAGTTATTATAAGTGTTATTATATAAACTGGAGGTTTTCCACTTCCATATGATGCGGATGCGGTTGGTGGATGCTCCCTCACTCACGGGGGTCCCAGGTGCAGCGAACCAAAACACCGCACCTTCTGTCGCATGGCCGAAGCCAATCCACCCACCGCAGCGGCGTTCGCGTTGAAACGAGGTGGAACGATGTCACCTGAGGCAGGAATTAGAAGCTACTAGGGACAAGGGGCATCGCTACTAGGAGCAAGGACGCTACTAGTAGCTCCTGGCCTTACTACTATAGTAACAAGAAGCTGCTAGCAGCAAGCAGCTACTAGGTGGAGGCCATCGCTATCTGGAAGAACCTCTGGAGGAGCAAAGCTCGGCAGGTGACACGGACTCGATCCACTGATAACCTCGGAAAAAAACATTCCCTGGACACATGAAAAAGAACTATCGTCTTTGATGGTGTTTGAATTCCATGTTACTTCCAGGGAGTGTCATGGACACCGATCTTCGGTGGAGAGGCCCCCAGATCTGTTTGAGATGTTCGACGGGTAACTGTCGGTCCTGCCGGCTGCAGGTTTTGTGTGAGGTTGATTTGACATCTCATGAAGCATGCCAAAGTTCATGTGAAATTGTCGAAAGAGCAAGGATTCTTCACTGACCATGATACAATGGCCAGGGGAGCAAGTACATGGTGCAAATCCCAAGCGAACTTTTGGTGGCGTGCAGCCTCCTCTTGCTTACACATCATTACGAAAGCTACTTTCAAGAAAGTCAGTGCCTACAGAATTCAGAAGCTCACTATTTAATTACTTATCTGAAGTCGTTTCAATGTAGCCCTCCACCACTACAAGTGCTTTTGGACCTTGTAAAGCCTGGTCTTGTATGAGTAGTTGCCAAATCAAATCGTCTATGAGAAGTCCAAAAGACCTGTAGGGTAGGTAGGGGTTCGGGAGGACCCTCTCCATGACATGTATGGCACATGCTTTCACTGACCCCTGAAACCACGCTAATTGGTGCATATGCCAGTCCCATTGGTCGTGTCTGGGCTAGGTTTCAGGGACGAAGCCGCGGTCTTTTCCGCGTCTTCGCTTTCCTCCGAAAGCCCACACCTCCGACGCGTTCCTCCAAGACAACATCTCCCGGCGAAATGGCCTCGGCCGCGTTTGCGGGTTTGGGGAAAACGGGAAGAAATACAACATATACTCCCCGGAAAGGGGATTCACCCAAAGGGAAAAACAAACCCCTATAGGCAAAAAACCCGAGTATACAGTAATGCTCCTTCATTGATATTGTTAGATAACCTGATGAATTGGTGTTGATGTGATGTTCCACAGATCTCTTGACGGCTCAGCCCGACCGAGTCAATCCTTCCCCAAATGAACCCCGCGATGTTCAGCCCCACGGGTTTAACATTGAAGAACATCGTCTGCACGCCCTTTTGGGGCATGGTGCGTTAAAGCGAGTAGCCAACCTCTGAGCGGGTATAGATATGTATAGACTAGCTAGCTAGTAGTTACACAGCATGTAGTTACAAAGGGCTAGGTTGGCGAGTAGCCACCCTCAGGATTTTTTTGCGAGTAGCCAACCTCAGTGTGCGACACGAACACCTGTAGTTACACAACAGCCGAAGCTTCGCAACAAACATTCACCTGGTTCTGAGGCCTGGACGCTGTGGACGCTGTCGAGGGGTAAGTCTTTGCCCACGGGGGGGCTGGCGGACCCTCAGCATATCCAAAGCCCAGCTGATGGATATCGAATGATTTCGACAATCCAGTGAGGGACAGAACTCCGTAAATTCATGGCAATTCGCAAAGGCGCCCTAAAGAAACCACGACAATTCGATGTGAAGAAATGCGAACACACTCCCATGCACAAAGCAATTTGTCTGGAGTAATTCCCATGGAACACAGTTCTCTGCACTGTGACAGTCCATTGAACCGACCATCGCGTCAGCCCCAAGACTGGCGTCAGATCGACTCCCCAGCCGTTTCATAGGGAGACCGACCCCCGTTCGCAGACCTCCCAGGCGTGAGGTAACCCCCGAACTGTTCAGTTCAGAAAATAGACCCGTCTACCCTGCCAGGGCCGATCTGGGGTCTTCTTGAAACACACACACACACACACACACACACACACGCTTAATTAATAACGAGCAGTAATTGTAATTGATTGTTTTCCACTGAGACCTTGTTTTCCTTAAAGGGCTACAAAAATAACATGGAGCAGTTAGCTCAACCTCTTTCCCGTGTTCTTGTTTAGTGGGGTGTCCCTAATCCCCGCTAGAAGGTTTTGCAAGTGATGCCGTACTGCCTGGGTCATAAAGCATTTTGTTGATGTTCAACCTAAGAGTGATGGCCTCCAACAAACTGGTGATGGCCTCCAACCTACAGTAAGAGCTTTGTAAAAATGGTCATGGCAAAGCCCTTGCCCCTCCTTGCCCCTTAGGTCCAGGTTCCCCGTACACGGGTCTTCGAGAACGGACCTGCAGAGCAGCCAATCGCCAAATCAAACGACTCTTGGGCGGCAGCCGCCGCGCGGGTCGTGTTGGGCACACATCGCCGCCACAGCTGTTCTAAACAAAAAATCCACTTTCGAGAGAAATTGATCGCGCTTCCTCATGGATCGATCGAGGCATGTTGTCCTTCCAAACATCGAGTCTTGCACGCGGAGTGCTGTTAGTCCTCACAAGTTTGAAGGACGAGGACGTGCTGCCGGCATGAAAAAAGAGCAACGTCCCACGAGTCGACCCATCCAGGGGCCATGGGCGGCCCCCGACTTGCGGCAAATCGCAACTCCATGGAGCAGCTGGCCTAATAATGTGGACTCGATCAATCAAAACCCCTTGGCCTGAGAAGACTTTACAATCCATGTATGTTTTTTAAAATTCGAGAGTCTACAGTAGTCTCTCTTTTGTGCCACACACAAGATGGTCTAAAGCTCGATCTTGGTGTTTGCATGTGTTTGACCGGGTAGAGACGACTGAGCTGTTGGACTCAGATACGCTTAGACCCTTGCCGGTGAAGATGCTCCCGCGCCTGCGAAGAGCCTGTGACCTCAGATGTACTGGTGAAAACACGTGTTTATTTAGCTGGTCGAGAAAACTCCAAAAGAATGAGCCCCAAGTAGTATACAATAGACAGGGAGATTCTCAAAAAGATTGATGATAGCCTTCTGGATGTGCCGGACTGGTGGAGACAAGACACCGAGAACTGTACCCATCTGGCACAAGTGTTTTTTTGTCTGTTTCAGCCCACATCTGAGACAAACACAAGTATATAAATCAGTATTCAGTATTCCAGCCAAAATGAGCGAAGTTCCACAAGGGTTTCGTTTGAGAAAACACCTGTGTTCACCCAAAAGGGATGCACAAGCCTTCTCAGTTCTCAGAAGCTCATGCCCATGCTTGGGATATCGTTCACGACACCCAAAGCCAGGTAACAAAGTCGTCGGAGGTTGGATGCCGATGGATCAGGACACCACGGAGCAAGAATGCTATTAGAAACAAGTGCATCGCTTCTAGTATTACTAGTAGTAACAAGTGCATCGCTACTAGAAGCAAGAAGCTATGTCGGAGGTTGGACGCCGATGGATCAGGACACCAAGGATATTGGGCTTCAACGGTCGCTAGATCTACTTACTAGTCGAATCTAGTCGATGGGCCACTGCTCCAACATGTCCTCTTTTGACCCAGTCCATCACTTTTGCTGTTTGAGAGCTTCATGGACTTGGAGCCCAAATAAGCCAAGTGCCCCCCCAACTCTGCTGACAACATCTGACAACCCTTCGCACCCTTCGCCTTCTTTGGGGGTCAGGTGCCTCTTCAACCTGTGACCCTCCAGAGTCTGGCAGGTCATCTTGGATTTGCGGCTCCCAGGAAGCTGAGGAATTCACCCATCATTGGGGACAAACATAACCCTAATACAAATTTGATCCCTTTTGTTTGGCCCAATGTGCACTCTCTCCACCTGACTTGGCAGCCATGTGACAAAGACAGCATTCCACACAAACAACAGCTTCTCCCCGCAACCCAAATCAAAGCAAATCAAGCCTTTGCCTTCCAAGGTTCCCGGCTGAAAGAGGGGATTTATGTATCCGGCATCGTCATCTGAAGTCCTATGGGATTTCTACCCTAGCATTGTTTTCTAGCGCTGGTATGGAGTTTCCATGCAACATACCTCCACACGGTTCTCCCCAAATGCTCCTTGCGCGTCAAAACCAAGCCCAAAGTCTCACCCTGGTGCTCTCGCGATCCCCTGAGTCCCCTGCACCAGAAATGGGATGGTCAATGGCGAAGGACTTGGGCCTGGGGCGGTGAGAGGAAGACCCTAATCTGCATGGTGAACCTTGTGTCACAAACATCAAAGAATCCAAATACAGTCCTGTTGCGTCGTCTGTGGCAGACGGTGCAGCAAAATTATGTCTGCGATGCGCTGTGCCATGCGGTTTGCTGCCACTTCAGTGGGGTGTTTGCATGGCCGTGCCATTAGGAAATGGGATACATGCGTGTGTGAAGGTAGCGTGTTGCTGGTGAGCGGGATGATTAGTGATGTCAAGGAGGTGTGCGACAAGAGAGTCCACAATTGCTCCACAAGAGTGGCATACAAACTTGTCCAGCAAGAGCCCCCCCGCAAGTGCCCTACAAGAGTGTGCCACAAGAGTACCACACAAGAGTGTCCCGATAGAATGTCCAACAAGAGTGCCCGAAAGAGTGTCCTCTACACAAGTGCAGCAAGAATGGCATGTTGCGCAAAAACGTGTCCAGCAGTGATCAGAGTATCCCACAAAAATGCTCTACAAGAGTTGCCAACAGTGTCGTGTCGTCCAAAGGTGTTGCCACATTGGAGAGGTTGCCAGCGGTTTGGATAGTCCACGTTCTCGACAGGTCACAATGCTACGTCCACAAGGCCGTTTCACCAGTAGTGAGTCATCAGGAAGACCAGGCCGTTTATGGTGAATCCTATCCTAGTAGCGATGCCCTTTGTTCCTACAGTAGATAGTAGCGTCCTTGCTCCCAGTAGTAGGGCCAGGAGCCCCTAGTAGCGTCCTTGCTCCTAACCATTATCCCAACTTTGCACATCTCATCACGTTTTTCAAAGGTGCCCCCAAAAAACGTGAAAACAAACACTAGAAAAGACAAAAACATAAGATCAGTAGTAAGTAAATCAATAGATATAAAATGTAGATATATAGTGAAATAAACAGAACAAGTTAAACAACTCTTCCAACACAAGTGCTACGAGTTCATAATTTACTGATAACCAGCATAAGTTTCTCCCTACTACTACTACCCATCAAACTTAAAGTTACAAGGCCTTCTTATCGACAAGATACAAGTAGAACTTACGGCACTGGTATTTGATCTACAACTAACTTGCTAAACCTTAGTGGGCACAAGTTCACACTAAATACAACGTAGTCATCGCCATTGTGGCAGTCTCCAGCTTGCTTCGGACTGGAAACTTGGGCATGTCCCAAGGCCCAAGAAGTACAGCCATACCCTAGCCTTCCAAGATAGTTAAGCAAATGGTTGAGACGGTCTTGTAGTCGAAAGAACCGTTACTGTAAATGTTGTGCAAATCTCAGGCTATAGCATGCACATGACCCCCAAATTCTTCTAGCATTTGCAACTGTTTAAGCGGTTCTCTTTCCCACCCACAGGTCTCTTCCTCATGCTGAGGTTCGCACAGTCGCAATTTCCCTCGCGAGATTCGCCCCTTGGCCTTGGTTGCAGGTCGAGAGCCTCTCCAGGGTGGGCAAAGGAGAATTGCGAATGGAAACAATTCGATTCTTCTAAAGCGATCACAAAGATTCAGAAGCCGCTCGAAAGACTTCTAGAGCTATTCACAGGTTTCTGCTCCAAGTCAACTGCCTCGTTTTCGCAAAGTCACCCACCGCACTGCCGCACTGTGGCACCCGAGCGAGCGGGGTGTGCGGCCTCGGTGTCTACAAGGACTTAGCTTGAAGGCCATCGCAAGTAGGTTTCCTTGCTACCTGGTTTCTTTTCCTATTACCTGACCTGACTTCACAGGTTTTTGGACACCCCTTATAACCTCTAAGAGGCTATTTATAGACACTTCTTGGAAGGTCCTGATATAGAAATATTGACAAAAGTGGACGATCCTTTGACATCTGCAACATAATTGTGAAAACAAGTGAAAACAAATAGAACCATTTGGAAATCCGTTTCATCTAATGATCCATTTCGGGAACCATTTCATCATCGGAGGTCATTTTGTTGGGGGTGTTCACAACCTATCTTTCGCTGAAGCTGATTTGGCGGCGGTCCAAGGATTCCAAGGGTCGCTTCATCTTGATGAGGACGAGTGTGATAAGGATGGGCTACTTGGGTGCATGAGGGTGCGCGCCGAGCCAGGCTTGGACATGCTTGGACAGCGGACGTCACATGAAACCTGATGTTCTGCTTGGTGATTGGATCAGGCAACTGAGGTGCACCTGTTTCGAGCACCTCACCACGTCTAACTGACAACAAGAAGTCAAGACCTTCATGCGCAGTTCAGGTGCTTGCAACTACCCGAGGAACTCCTGATGAACCTCCGCACCAGAAACTGACTCAAGAAACCGCCGAACTGATGCCCCCGCAGGCTGACCTGCCAAGCGGATAAACACATCCAAAACTATACACTCTGAATCACTCTGACGTCCAGGTGGCATCAGAACTCCTGGATTCCTCACAGTTTCCACCTTGAAGTGTCAGGTCTCCTTCCTGCTCCTTCCCTGCGAAGGACAAACCACTGGGCAGCCCGAGCAAAGAGTTGGCTCTGGGACTTTCCACGTGGGAAGACCTCAAGAGCACTGGGCAGGGGTGTGGTGGTGTTTGGTCTTACCATGTCTTACCTTAAAATTGCAACCTGCAACATGTCTATAGCTGAGAAGGCGCTCAAGTAATTAATAAGGGTGCGCTAAATGGGTTGTAGGTGCAACTACCTCCGATTGAAAAAAGACAACTGGCTGTGTGCTCTAAATGAGGATGATTTTGGTAAAACATCAACCTCAATACATGACAAAACATGAGGCTATTTGTAACTACAGGACCGTCACCTCACACTTCCCATCCATCTCCCGCCCTCGGGATCCGCTTCCCCGGCGGCGCGAGACCAGGTGAGGCCAGGTTCGGAGGAGGCCCAGGACCTCCTTAGAGTCAACCAGAGGTTGCTTTGAGGTTGGAGGCCATTGCAATTAGGGTGGAGGCCATCGCTTTTAGGGTGGAGGCCATTGCTTTCAGGGT